CCTTCCTTCCTTCCTTCCTTCCTTCCTTCCTTCTTCCTCCCTCCCTCCCTTCCCTCCCTTCCCCCCTGATTAAATCTGCTGCATTTTCAAGCTTTTTGGGAAAAACGACTCAGAAAGAACCCTAGCAGGTCTGTGTGCTGAGGCTCTTCCCCAGCCACCTCTATACATATGGGGACTGATGCACGACACATAGAAAATATACCAAGGACAAAGCGGCTCGCATCCACTTTTTTTTCTTTTTCTCTGAACTAAGCTACTGCTCTTCAATAGTTTTAAAAGCATAATATTGGTTTAATTGGTCTAATGGTGCCTTTTTTTTTTTTTCCCCCTCTTTTCTTTCCCCTGGGCAACARCCACTTTTAGAGAATTCCTGGCCCTGCTCTCTGCACAATGTGGCATGGAGAGCAGGTCCCTGTGTTATGTCAGAAAAGGACCAACTCCCCACGTGCAGTTTGGCCATACCCATTCAGTAGCTGCAGTACCCAGYGATAAATATATAAAATAAAATTCTAAAAAAGCAGATTCAGGTTATATACACTGTATATATACTACATTATATATACACACATACACATACATATGTATACTGTCTGTATATATATTGAGTTCTACACATGGCAGCAGGGTAAAGAATTGCTTGCAAATCAGGTTTATGGCATCGAGGTGRTTTCATGTTACTGTTGGCTAGTCTGTCCCTAAAGATGCATCATTTCATGCTGAGTGTGACTTTAGCCATTTCATGCTGAGTATGACTTTAGCTGGACCCTCCAAGCAGCCATCCTGGAAAAATCCTTCCTGGGTCATTTTTTTTTCTGGTAGCCCCATGAGAAGGAAGAAAACCAATAACACTGTTGAGAAAACAAAAATGACTGCTTTGTGCTGAAAGTCGTCTTTGGTCCATTTTCATTCCTATATATTGAAGACAGTGAATAACTGAGATCTTCTGCATTGGCCCTTGCTGCTTAGGATAAATCTGCCTGGCCAAAGCATTTGGAAAACTTTTATCATGGAAGCAGGAGAGCAACAGGAGAGGACAGGGAGATGGTACCACTAGCTCTGTGATGGGTCTCCTAGGGTGGTCATCCCAGCCGTATGCTTCCCAAATGCAAAGGATAGCAAACTAGAATTAACTGCAATTTATAAGCCTACAAGCCTTCTCACAGAAAGAGAATTCACATCAGAATTACTCTTTTCTTTAGAAACAGAGACACTTAAATTATAGCTGGTTCCTTATTGTCACAGACAAGCAAGGCGATGGCAAAGTACATCACACCTTGTTTTCAGAAACCTGCAAATTCAAGAATTGGTGTTCAGATGTATTCCTTTGTAGTTTATTGAGTCCAGTTATATCTGTTACATCAAGAAGTTTTGTTTAAATTCCACATGACCAAGTCAAGCTTAAAGTCCCTCAGTAGTACAGGACCTCCTACCCATCSCACAGCCCTGGCAGCTCCAACCCTGTGAGCGCTCCAGTCTTCGAAAGCTGGCTTAGGAAAGACCAGATTTAAATATGTAAAATGACAAAAGATGGAAAGACACAGAGATAATGAGGGAATAAGGTGGAAAGGGCAACACTGCTTATG